CTTTCTTCACCACATTTTCTTGTGCACCATTGTCTTCAGCGATCATGCCAGGTAGGTGAGCATCTCAGACTGCCAAATTGTTAGAACAAAGTGTTCTTGTGTTGGGGAAGTACTTGTGTAGGGCCCCACTGTCCATCTGCTTTCTTAATACTCGACCTATAAATATATGTACAAAGATCTATTTCCCCCTCATCATATATAAATATATTTACATCTTTATATCCCTGTATTTACATCTCTATGAATACCCTTTGCCTCCTAGTTCTTACCTCTGTTTCTTTGTACTTTCCTCTTGTCCCACTATCATGTTCTGCCTTCATTTGGGTTTTAGGGATTCCTCTCGGTTACATTGCCCTTGATCCAGCCCTGCAAGGCCTCCTGCACCCTCCTTGACATTGATTTTGGATCACTTGTTGTTCCCGTGTGCCTGTGCTTGTTAACACCCTCTTCCTTCCTTGCCCCCTCCCCTACCCCCATGCTCCCCCGATCTGTCATCCCGTTGTTCTCCCTTCTGGCTTGTTTATTCCTCCTATCCCTTCCAGGTAGACATGCTATGTACCATCACCAGACTGAGTGCAACGAGGCAACAACAGAAAGTAAAACAATGTCTACAACAACAATGCACACATATGCATACATACATAACAATATGAATAGTTCAGGGTCTGTTTGCTTTCTTTCATGTGTGCTTTCCAGTCAAGTCTGATTGGGTGCCATGCCCCAGCATTGCCTCTATCCCTGAGGATCTCACTGCTCTGTTCCCCCCACTGCTCTGATGCATGCCCCCAGAGGCTGGTGTTTGATGTGGTGAGCTCATGGCAGGCGCAATTCCCGCCATTTGTCTCCAGAGCTGTCCCCAGTGGTGCGATGGGTCAACGAGGAACGCTGTGTCCCGTGGTGGGGCTGGCCCCGTGGTCATCTCCGTGCATCGCTGTTCCGAACAGGCACATTGTCCCCAGGGCTCAGCGAGCCAGGATGTGCTCCACTCTTTCCTTTTCTTCCCCTTCCCCCCTCATTGGCTCACATGCGCTCCGACCAGACCAGTCCTCCTTCCCCTCTTCCGGAGCTGCAGCTTCAGTGCTGTCCTCTGAAGTGAACTCTCCCTGGGGGAGGGTGGTGCCATGCACCCAGTTGGTAATGGGGCAGGCCCCTCAGGCTTTCCATCTGTTCCTTACTTCATGTCAGCGTGTTGCGTTCCTGTCTTGGAGAAGACGAGATCAATTCTTCTGAAAAAGGGGACTAGACAAAGATGTCCCTTGTCCCCACTCCTATTTAACATTGTGCTGGAAGTCCTCGCTAATGACATAAGGCAAAGAAAGGACATCAAAGGGATTTGCCTGGGGAAGGAAGAAGTGAAACTATTGTTATTCGCAGATGATATGATTTTATATATGGAAAATCCTAAAAGCTCCACAAGAGGAGTACTGGAAGCAATAGAGGAATATGGCAGAGTAGCAGGTTACAAGATCAACAAACAGAAGTCTATCGCACTATTGTACACATCAGACAAGGACACAGAAGAGGGGATTAAAAAGGGGGTACCCTTCACAATAGCCAAACACAAATTGAAATATCTAGGGATATACCTGACTCAAAAAACAAAAGATCTGTATGAGGAAAACTACAAAACACTATTAAAAGAAACCAAGGATGACCTCAACAAATGGAAGGCGATCCCATGCTCGTGCATTGGCAGACTCAATATTGTAAAGATGTCAATTCTACCCAAGGCACTATATAAGTTCAATGCTATCCCGATCCAAATTCCAGCAACTTTCTTCAAAGAGTTGGAAAAACAGATTACCAACTTCATATGGAGGGGGAAGAAACCGAGAATTAATAGAGAACTCCTCAAGAGGAAGGACAAAGTCGGAGGGCTTGCTTTACCCAACTTTAACACCTATTACACAGCCACAGTGGTCAAAACAGCATGGTACTGGTATAACGACAGATATTCAGACCAATGGAAAAGGATTGAAAACCCAGAAATAAAATCATCGGCATACAGACAACTGATCTTTGATAAGGGATCCAAAAATATCAAATGGGAAGTGCATGCCATGCCCTCTTCAATTCATGGTGCTGGAAAAAATGAATACGTCGCTGCAGAAAAATGAATCAAGACCGTCAGCTCACTCCATACACAAGAATAAACTCAAGGTGGATCACAGACCTTGAGGTCAAACCCCGAATCATCAGGGCCATCAATGAGGGAATTGGGTCAAACCTGAGAACCTTGGCACATGGATTACATAGGCTATCGGAAATCGGGAAGGACACCAACACAGAGGAGGCACAAATTGATCAGTAGGACATACTAAAAATAAAACACTTATGTACATCGAAAGAATTCACCAAGAGATTAATAAGAGAGACTACAGAATGTTTTTTTTGTTTTTTAACTGCCCTTTCCCTTTCTCCAGTCAGTGGGTCATGCAGGATCCATACATATTGTCTGTACAATATTGCTTACTGAAATGTGCTAGTAAACAGGGGCTTCAAAAAGTTTGTGGAAAACTCCAGTATTTATCAGTGGCATTTTTTCATAAACCTTTCGAAGTCCCTATGTATACTATAAAAAATATTAAACATAAAACCATCTTCAATGTGTTTAGAATCTTGTGATTCATTTTGAACAGTGTATCCATGGAAGAAAGATTTACCATCTAGCTCTCTTACTTTCTTGAAACCCTTTAGCATGTTCATTACATTTACAGCCTCTATATTAAGGCCAAAGTAAAACAAAAGGGTCTTTCGTGCCATATTACTGGCTCTATTGTTAGTGGCACACTAAATTGCAAGTAAGATCTAGCCAATATTTAAAATTTTTTATGTTGATAAATGGGTGTTAGTTATTTCAACCTAGGCATTTCTTTGAGAATAGTGAATTTTGTGATATCTTATAAAATTTGGTAATTACAGTCATGGTTAATCACATTTATTAGAAAGGACCCTAATATATATAGAACTTTTAAGATTTTAGATCTGTTTCATATAACAATGATGATAATCATAGACTATAAAAATAAGTTCCATGGGAATTAGATGATAATTTATGTAAAGCATTTAGTACATGGTAAGTACTGAGCATAGTTTATTATTATCATTAATCCATATTTTATCAACACATTTTAATATATTTTACCCCATTTAATCTTCACAAGTCTGGCAAATAAATGTAATAAGAATTAGCTCCTCTTTTAGAACTGAAGAAAGTGAGTCTATGGTTGGATAAGTAACTTGATATACAAAGGGGCTTCAGAAAGTTCGTAGAAGAGTGGAATTAAAAGATCATGGAAAATTTCTATGAACTTTTTGAAACCCCAAACTTTCAGATTGCTTTAACGTTGAAATTGTTTTTAGTGACCTGTGCTGCCTCCTGCTTTCAAATAAATCATTCCACAGTAAAACACACATGATTTGGCATTAAGTACTTAAAACGTAATCATGGCAGATGATTTCTTGTGATTCTCAGGGACTGATTCTTCAGGTCTTTCAGTGATTTGAAAGTGTAACATTAATGATGTGTCCATATCAAACATCAATGAAAATAGACTGTTTAGTATGTGAATTTGTTGAAAGCATTCTAATAGTTGTGAAGGAAGGATTCTTTAAACAATAACTTTATATTAGGCATCATTTCTACCACTGGGAATAAAGTTAATTCATACTTTGGAATTCAGAAAATTCATTGAAGTGCCTCATAAATAGCATTTTCAGATTGTATGTTCTGAAGGGGTGAGTAGGTGATCCAAACACCTGCTGGGGCTTTTAGTACAAATGATACCAACAAGTGCTCAGGTAGTGTTCACGCTGCTCCAAGAATTGTACGTATGTGAACTCACTTGATTCTTGCAAAAGTGCTTTGGGATAGGAATTGTTATTTTTTTCATTTTGTAAATGGAAAATGAGGCTGAGAAAGTTAAGTCATTTACTCGAGATCAGAGCTAATAGACAGCAGAGTTGGATATGTGCACTGACAGGAGGAATAAACAGCAAAGGCTAAAGTCGTGGGAGAGGCATGCCTGGTCGGTGAGCTCTGTGGAAGGCAGTGAGGTACAGGTTGAGACAGGACTGTGGTAGGGCAGACCAGAGAGAACCTGTGCATAATTTCCAGGATCTGGGATTTCAGTTAGTGTTAGTTGGAATGTCTCTAAGGGGGTGACAAGAGGCGATGTGAATCTGATGTGATTGCACACGTTTGGAAGGGCAGGCTCTGAGTGGTGCACATTGTTAGCACGTTCCACTTCCAGCCAAACTATTAGAGGTTTGAACCTACCAAGAAGCACTTTCGAAGGAAGGCCTGATGATCTGCTTCTGACAACCCAGCCCGGGACACCCCGCAGATCACAGTTCTATGGCACCAGTGGTGTCTCCATGCCTTAGCATTGATTCTGTGTCAACGTTGAGTCCTCTTAATGCAGTGTTGACTGAACACAATAAGGATCATGTCTAAAAAACAAGGTGTGTACTAGTTTTGTCAATTCCGTGGTTGAATTTGTTCATTTTGACAATGCTTAGGAAGGTTCAATCATTACTAGCATTATTTCAAATAGAAGGTTCATTGCTAGTAATATTCCAGATATTCCTGAACTTCACTATCTAATTAAAATTCTGTATTTTAGAAATTTTTGTATGAAAATATAATTATAGGTTAATAAATCTTTAATTTTAATCTATACAACCAATGTATAATACAAAACTATTATATTCCTTTTTTCTATCATTTTTATTTTTTACTGTTTTCTTATGTGACTCAGGGTCATGACATTTCTTAAGCACCACATGTTTCAGATGCTAGAAATCTACATTCTGAAAAACGGGTAAAAGAAAATTCTTCAAGTGTGCTAGAATATTTGGGTCTCCATTTTCTTAAATTAAATTTGACTCTGAGTCACCAAAATATAAGGCTGATGGGATTCACCTTTTGATATCATACAGACAGCTTCACTACCTTAAATCTTTCATAGTGCACTAAACTGCCCATTCATCAGTGATGGCATCCTCACTTTTTAAAAAATGAATAGTTCCTGGAAGTAAAGTCCCCTTCTGCTCCCAAGCTATCTGTTTAAAAGGGCATCTTTTTGGAAGCTTAAACCCCAAAGCTTCCATCTCCCACCCAGTGTGTTTTTCAGCTCGTTCACGACTGTGGTCTTGCCATTCCCCAAGATGTTGCCAGACGGCACATTGCCCTGTTAACTGGTACACATCTCCCCTCTTGCCTAATATAGAGATTCTCATTTCTATCCCTTGCCAATTCTCAAAAACATTTCACACTCTTTACCACTGCAGAAATTAGTGTCAAAATGGAAGAATCATTTAGGCTGGTTGACAGAATCAAGTATTCTGAGGCAAAGGAGCCCAAAATTTCTCCTTGAAATGGTAGAATATAGAAAGCATAAGGATATAGCAATTGTGACATTTCAATTCAGAGTGTTGCTACACAAAATTAACCAAAACAAAGAACAACATGCAGACAAAAATTCAGCAGTTGGCCAATTTGCTGACACATTAGAGCACGGGTAAAGTTAAGGATGGCTCTAAGGTTTCTGGGTTAAGAAATTGGAAGACTATTAATGTCATTAACTGATGCTACAGATAGGTGGAAAGATTATGATTTCCATTGTAGACATGTTACGTTTGAAGCACCCATTAAACATTTAAGGTGTCAAATAGTGTGTGGAATATCAATAGATAGTTCAAGTCAGAGTTCTAGATTCCAGCTACAAATATGTCACAAATTCAAAATTACCAAGGAGTTACTGTGGCTAAGGACGGGGATATATCCAAAGTTAATTTGTTGAGGTGATGTAGAATAATCGTCAAAAGAGTCTGGACAGAAGCATCTTGCGAAGTAGGAGAAGGGGAAAGATAAGCACCTATAAAACTTGGAGTCGGCACTAGAAAATGTTTCCGTGTGGAGAGTCGTCTGCTATACCCAGTGCTGGCAGAGGGCAAGAAAAAAGAGAACTGACAATTAGCTGCAGTTAGCCAGAGAAGGGTTTACAACAGAGCTATTTGTTGTTGGAGTGAGGGCAAACTTGTTTGAATTGGGTTTAGAGAAAATGAAGGATTAGTTGAACAGCAATTTTAGACAACTGTTTGGATGAGTTTTCACTACGGGAAAATGGAGGGATAGGCTATTAGGCAGAGATGAAAGTAGATCTCACAGACATGGTATATATGAGTATGGGTTGAGAAGGGGTGCCACTGCGTTTACTTTCTGAGGGCAAGACCCAGCAGAGAGGGGAAAACCGACAATGAAATGCTCGAGAAAATAGAAGAGGAGAAGAGAGAGGACCAATTCTAGTGCCTAGGTGGAGAGGCTCACCTTTGTAGGGTTTATCTTTCCTCTCTATTTGGAAGCAAACAAAAAGCAGATGAACACGGATGCTGGTGAGTGAGTCTCACCTGGCTGCTCTGTTTTGTCTGTGAAAGAGGAAGCAAGGCCGTAAGCTGAAAGTGATGCTGAGGGCGCAGTAGCAAGCTAAAGAAGAGAGGATAGAGGGTGCTAGGATTTTACTCCCTTCTCTCGGTGTCTATGACCGTAATCCTCACATGACTTCATTGACTTTGGTTTTTAGTTCTATTGGCTTATAATGTCCATGCCATACGATTCAGTGGTTTAACATATGTAGAAGAGGTGTGCAATCATCACCACTATCCGTTTTTTTAGAATATTGTCTTCACTCTGGTACTCCTCATTAGCTCCATTTCCCCCAACCTACTCAGCCACATCCCCAAGAAATTGTGTTGGACTGGGTTGCCTAGAGAAACAAATCCATAGACACTCATACATGTATAAGAGCTTTATATCAAAGAGTAATTGTATATTAAGAACACATTCCAGCCCAGTCCATAAGTCTAATATTAGCTGATATTAGCCCATAAGACCAGGGGTGTTAAACTGGTGGCCCGTGGGCCACATGCAGCCCCTGAGGTAATTTTTTGCGGCCCACAATGCTCTGAAATAAAATGAAAATAGAAAAATTGTTATGAAGAAAATAGTACTTAAGGAGATCGAGGCAATACCATACACACAATTTCCTCATTACATTTACATTTTACTTCAGAGCATCGTGGGTCACAACAAATTACCTCGGGGGCCACATGCATGCGGGCTGCCAGTTTGACACCCCTGCATAAGACCAGTCCTAGTCCAAAAATCCTTCTTCAGAGTTACATAGTCACAGACAATGATGCAAAATGCAGGAAGATCACAGGCCAGTGGGTGCAAAATCTTGTGGATCCAACGGCAATGTAAGCATCTCAGCGCTGGGGCTGGTCTCCAGGTGGCTTGTCAACAGGAAAGTGAAGCAGAGTGTGGCCCACCTCCAGGGAGAACAAGAGGAAATTCCCAGAATCCTCATGAGGCCAAGCCCACGAGGAAGCAGCATCAGACTGTAATCTAACTGACAAGGTAGACTCCACTCTTACACTAATTTAAGAAGTTGACATGAAATTATGTAACCACCACTTAAACTATTAATACAGTTGCTGTCTCTATAAATTTACATATCCTGCATTTCTTTTAAAGAAAAGTATAAAACCCTGCCTTTTCTCCTTAACAATTATAAAATAAATCACAGAAAGACTTCAATTGAAAAGAAATATGAAAATAATAAAAACTAGAACAAATTTAAGATGGGTAAAAAGGGAGAACACATAATAAGGTGTCACATTTTAACTGAACTATATCAGCCTTAATCTACTTTCCAATGCACTCTGCCTAATAGCCAGGCTACTCACATCCCTCTTCAGTGGCCACAGGAGGTTCACCCAAGGCTTCATCCATGTGGGGCCCCCTCAAATGGATTTGGGGTTTTGGCTATTAGTCATAGCCTTCTGCAAACCAGGTGCTCAGAATTTAAACGCTAATAATTTTCCCTCCTCTGGTCTTGGATTTTATTACTTACAATCCTTGGATCACACCAGCTGGTGTATTTCCTCCCTGCAGATTTAGCTCTCATTCACTTAAATGGCTACTTGTTTTAAGTCAAGCTTTAAACCCCAGACACTATTCTTTCTGATATTCAAATACCATCTGACGTCTTCAGCATGAGTGTATTTTTAACATGAAGCTATACATCTGGTAAAATAAAGGTCATATACCTAATAAAATAAGGGTTTTTAAAAAAATCATTTTATTAGGGGCTCATACAACTCATCACAATCCATACACACATCAATTGTGTAAAGCGCATTTATACATTCATTGCCCTCATCATTCTCAAAACATTTTCTCTCCACTTAAACCCCCGGCATTAGGTCCTCATTTTTCCCATCCCTCCCCACTCCCCACTCCGTCATGAGCCCTTGATAGTTTATAAATTGTTATTTTGTCATATCTTGCCCTATCCGACATCTCCCTTCACCCACTTTTCTGTTGTCCATCCCCCAGGTAGGAGGTCACATATAGTTCCTTGTAATCAAAATAAGGGTTTTAAGTACTAAAATCTAACTTTCCCAAGATAATTTCATTTCCTATGAGAAGAGACCTAGAATATTTGTTTATTTTTTGTGTACAATGAAGCTCTAAAAAGTTCACGGACAGATTCCACTATCTTTTAATTCCAATATTGCAAGAACTTTTCAACTTTCCTATGTGTTTTCATGGGTCTAGATGCTGCCTGGTTTACTTTGCACATAGGGAAAGTGAGACCATGGGACATTAACTGTGCAGTTCTGCAGTGCATTGGCCTGGAGCTGACCCCACATGTTTCAACTCCACTGCTCCCTCAGGTCATCTGCTGCTTGCTCATTCTGAGCTCAGATCCTGATATGCTCTCTAAGAAAGACTGGCCGTTTCCTCCTCTGTATTTTAGGCAGCCATTTTCTCTGCCTATTTTGGCCATTGACTATTCTCATCTGCTTTTTGTTCTTCCTAAATTTGGTGAAATTACTTGTTGGTCAGTGATATCCAACCCTGTCATTTTATTTGATGTTGTAGATTAATGTTTTAAATGCATGCATTTGAATAAGTTTCAAAATTATTAAAAGCAAAGATGATTGTTTGCCTGTTCAATCTATTTCTTTTATTTATATCATGCCCTCCACTATAAAACCTTGATCCTTAAGTATGGCATATTTTTAAGTCATTCATAAAGGATAATCCTTAAATTAATATTGCATAAGTTGAAATGGTGATATAATTGCTTTTCAAAGAAGCGATTTGGGGTTGAAATGAGAGACGAGGAAAGCAGTAATTCTAGAGAAACAAGCCTCAACATAGACCAAGGTCATTGCCACACTCTGTGAAACAGCCAAGGGGGAGAAGCAGCCCAGATGCCTATCAAAAGATGACTGGATAAACGTCATGGTGGTGCATACATACAGTGGGCTATTGCTGTGACATAAAGGAAATGACATCCCGATACATGCCACAGCATGGATGAGCCTTGAAAATACACCGAGTGAAATAGATTCATCCCAGAAAGACAAATATTGTGTGACTTCACTAATAGGAAGTACCTAGACAGTAGATGAGATTACATTAGTGGTTACCAGGGCTGAAAAAGAAGTGATAGAAGGGTGAGATCATTTATTGTGCCAGCCTGGCTGATAAACACATGTGGGATTAATTGAAGGGCGGAGGGATAAATGGCTCGGCGAGCCTCGCCTTTCTTGTCTCTCGCTCTTTAATCATCAGACCAGTGTGCGGCTGGCTGCCTTGCTTGGTCTGTGCCTCAATTTATAGGCTACACTACCTGTGGGGCGCCTAGCCTGTGAACTGTGTCACTGTAATTTGAGGTCCCTTTAAGACTTGCTTTGCCACAGGATTGGAATGTACATCTCTTGAGCTGGGGACTGACTGTTGGTGACCTGCCTTGCTGTTTGCTGCCTGTGCTGGGATAGCCTGAATCTCTCTACAGAGGACTACCTGGTGGCCCTCAAGACTTGAAGGACTGCCAGTGTCTCATAACTCTCTCTCATGGGAGTGAGTTGCACTAAGCCATTTGTACTGCTTTATAATTTAACTGTTCATTTCTTGTATTATGTCTCTATCTGTATATAATTTAACTGCTCATTTTTTGTGTTATATATCTATCTGTCTTTATAAATATATACATATAATTGTCAGCACTCTGGTTTTGTCTCTCTGTCTAACACAAAGGGGAATGGGTGAAGTTGTTATTTGGAAAGCATCGGGTTTTTGTTTATGGGGCTGGAAAATTTAGGAAAGTTTATTGGTGATGGTCGCAGCAAACAGTGATGGCTGCAACACATTCATCTCACTGAATGCTACATGTGAAAGACGTTCAACTGGCAAATATTGCCTTATTTGTAGTTTTACAATAAAAAGCCCGATGTAACTGCTATTACAAGTATACTTTCACATTTTCAATCTCCTATCTCATTTTCCATTTGAACACTACATTTGTAAATTTCCAGTAGAGAAGAATCTAGAAACATTTCAGGGCATAAGTCCTTTGGGACATGAGCCCTTACTTGACCTTTCATGAGACGGCTGCTCGTCTGTTTCTTTTATTTATAACTCACACTGTGAATTACAAAACATCAATTTACAGTATTTTTATTCTTATTGGTGATAAAGAGAAAGCCATGCTGGTGACAGCTTTGGGGCTTATTAACTTGCATGGGCCCTGTAATTGATGAGTCCCTTAAGAGAAGGCTCTGTTTTAACAACATTTATTATGCACATAATCAAATTTGCACAACTAATATCAGAACAACACAGAGATCAACATGCATATCTTGTTCTGCTTGTATCCTTAGTTCTGAAGCAGGGAACAAAACTTCTGGGTCTACTCTTTAACCTAGTAACTATATCTAGATACTACATAGTTTACTTGAGTATCAGTTTTTAGATATATAGAATATTAGCATAACAATACCATCACTGCCTGTATCACAGAGAGGGTTAACAGATATGGAAAAAATACTGTATTTGAATGTGCATTCCTCCCTCCCAGAATCTTGAGTAGTATTTACACTTCTCTCTCTGTTTCCCTGACCCCTCTTCCGAATTTATAGATATTTTTGCATGGTAACAACCTGAACAGTCTACACCAACTAATTCATCCTGAAATCCTGCCCTCTGAGTTTGGAGGCATGCTGCCCCCGTACGACATGGGCACATGGGCAAGGACACTGCTGGACCATGAGTATGATGACGACAGTGAGTACAACGTGGAGTCCTATAGCATGCCTGTGACGGAAGTAGAAAAGGAACTCTCTCCCAAGTCCATGAAGAGGTATGCCGGAAGGAGATGGGGAAGTGGCTGCGGGGAGGGGGTGATGTATGCTGAAACTATGCCCGGACTTTGTAGTTTTCTGAAATTGTTGTTTGGTATGTTTTTAATGTTTTTTATACCTCCATGATTTGATGGCTAGGGAGTATGAGTCTAGGGGTAAGGTCGTTTGAGGTAAACTCATGACAGTGTTGTTCCAAATTCACAACCTAGCAGTGCTTTGAAATCACAGTTTTTCTTTGTCTGGGGAACCAAAGCCTCTGGTGTGCACTTCGGATGAGCAAAGGGGAAGAGGCGAGTCCCCATGTCCACTGCAATAGGGAAAACTGCTTTTATCTGAGCAATTTATTAACTTCATTGTAAGGTTTGCTTTGAAGAAAGGCGTTTTCGGCTAGTACTCACACACAGGCACACTGGTCAATTCAGAACATTACACTCAAAGCTTATTTTCCCTTTTCGTTGTGCCTGCCAAGTGTGTTCAAAGGTATGACCACTCCAGGGGCAAAGTGTTCTCTTTCCCTACAGCTTTAATCTGTATAAATTCATTGTGGAGTCTTAGTCTGGCTCTCTGCTTTGAGTCTCGGGGTAGTTTATGCTTCTTTTATTTCAATAAATATATATTTATTAAACATGTGCTCTGGAGTAAGTGTTTCTAGGTATTTTGGATTCAGTGCAGATTGGAATGCACCATCCAGTCTGGTGATGATGGATGTAGGGGTGTCAGATAGACAAGTGGTCCATTGCATTGTTTCAGGATTTTGGATTCCATAACAAACAAGAAGTCTAATAGACAGGTTTTCTAAACCACATTAACATTAGCAACATTTATTTCTCTGAAATATGCAGGAATTAGAACCCGATGTTTATTCTCATGAAGCTCATGAAACACCCAAGAATGTCACACACGTCACACCAAAACCATCCTAATGACTTTGGCCTTAAGGTCTGTTGTCGTGGCTCTGACCGTAGTCAGGGTTTGGTATTCTGTCTCTGAGGCTGGTTTCCCTTCTGCTGCGGCTGCTCATGCTGTGTAGTTATGTGTGTGCCAGGCTGCCACACGGCTCCTCGGAGACGGGGAATTCTAGAGACATCCCACGCTTCAGCTTTCCTTCTAATCAAGATGCTTGTGGTTGAATTAAGTGCTGCTGCTTGACACTCTTCTCTTTAGAGCAGGGGTTCTTGGGATTTATAGTGGCACGAGCCAAAGGATTTATTGATGAACTCTCAAGAGATTTCATTAAATTCTGAAAATTGTAGTTAAAGTTGTATATGTGTGTTTATGAATAAATGAGTGTTCTGTGCATTTTACTAAACAGAAAGACTTTGAACAAATTGTCAACATCAAAAATGGTAAAAAGTGATTTGCTCAAGAATACCTTCCTTTTAATTGTAATAATAATCATTGTAACAATCAAAGATGGTATTTATTAAGTTCTTACCAGGAGTTTGACACTGGGAGCTTTTTGGTTGTTATTTATTTGTATTGTTTATATTTTATTTATTTTTACATTAATATATTTAATCATCACAAAACCCATATTAAACACATTTTATTCCAGAAGTCACATGATCAACAACAATTAGTAGAGAAGGATGCATCCCATGAAGTGTAGAGTCTTTTGAGTGCTTCGATCTAATAAATGAAGTGGTTAATTATCGTGGAAGAGTGGCTAGAATTCATCCCCTCACTCTGGAGCGAAGCTATGTGCGTTTCTGGAGACTGCCGCCATATATGTTCCATAGCTTCCTCCTTTGCCAGCTTTAAGTGCCACCTCCTTTCAACCCCTCCTGTGTGGCATGCTCACAGCTGTGGCCTGTTCTTTGATCTCATTTACCTCCATGTTTCTTCAGCCTTAGCCACACCCCTCCCCTCTGCACCCTTCTCACCTGTACATTCCTGGACCTCAGAGATGGTCTCTTTTGAGACACTACCTTTGCCCCACATTCTTTATCCAATTTTTCAGCTATGTCATTTTTAAAAACTGCAAATCAGATTACTTCACATATTTGAAAACCTTTAATGGATGTAATTAATACATTTAATAAAAGCAGCTGTGTGTCATGGATTACAGGATGCTATGTGACCTGACCCTAGATAAATTTTCCTCCCAGGCTTAGCTCACCCTTTCCCCACTACTATTTCTAAATACCAGAACCTGTTTCTCGCCTTCGCCTTCTTTCACTTGTTCCTATCGAAGGACCTATAGTTGTTCACAGCTATTGGAATGCTTTCGTTTTGTTTTGACATCTTCAAAGGCTGGCCCCAATCACAGGTTATCTTCTCAAAAGAGTTCATTGGTTTTTATCAATCACCAGTTTTCATCAGTTCTACCTCTTCCCATTCTACCCACTCTCTGTCAGTCATCCTTTTTCTATTTTATTTTTATAGTACTTATCAGTTTTTGAAAAGACTGATCTGATTTTATTTTTTATTGCCGCTCCAAATGAAAGCCTCATGGAAGCCATGCTCTGTAGCTCCAGTTCTGTTTAGCCCCAGTGCCTGGAATAGGGCCTGGGACTTATCACTTGAATGAATGCAGTGCTGTGAAACCTGTCATTGTCCCCTTTCAGGTGCAATTTTCACAATGGAATAGAAACCATCTGACACACTTGTAGAAGCCCTGATGGTGCAGTGGCTAAAGTGCTTGGCTGCTAAATGAAGGTCATTTCAAAGCCACCAGTGGTTCTGTGGGAGAAAGATGTAGAAGTGTGTTTCAATAGGTGCTGACAACCTTGGAAACACTATAGGACAGAGAGATCTACTCTGTCTTTATAGGGTTGATGCATGAACACAATCGCAATGGTTGGGAGCCTTCTATCACGACTTACATGTGGGTTCCGGAATTCTGCCTTTGAAATCCAGACCTCAATGGCTTCTTTTGATTCCTGTGACTGTTGAGGTAGCCAAAGTACATTGCTGATTCATGTTAATCTCTGTTAAACTATTGAGTCTGTCGCATATAAATCCATATCCTCCTGAGCCTCTATTTCTCTGCTTAGCTTTTGCCTCCAAGCACATTATTTTAATTGATTAAAACCCTCTTGTTAGATTTAGCTCCTTGAATCTACCTTTTGAAATCTTGTTGGATCAGGAATCCCTTCCTCAATTCATTAGGTCCACTTGTCCTTCTTGCTAAATTGGTGCACAGCACAGTGACCTCCCAGACGAGGAGGTTCCTGCTTCCTCTGACGTGAGCTGATTCGAAGTTCAGCCATCATATATTTGGTGCAAGTTGTGCTATCATATGGAGTACTTATGGTTGTGTTTGAAATTTTATTGGGCTTGAAGTCAAAGCTTACATAGAAAATCAATCATCTTAACCAATAGTTCATACCAAATTGTACTGTCTCTTTGATTGCAATTCCAGCACTCTCCCTATTTCCTCCCCATTTCCATTTTTCTGTTTTCACTACTCCCTCTTCCTCCCTCCTTTCCCAGTTTTCTCACTTTTGGTTTGGGGCACAGTGTTTGTCTCATATAGTTGATTGTTCTGTGGAACTCATTCTTCATAGGAGTCACTGTTCATTTTGTAGGACCATCTATTAGTTGATCTGGAAGGTAACTCCCTCCAGGAATGTCTTTAGTTTCAAGTTAGAAGGAATTCTCTATTATTTGTTTTACCTCATTAATCATGTTAAAGTTGTGTATGTTCATTTGCATAATGAAGATCATTTGATACATGAATGCCAAGATAGATAACCCTTCAGAGAAACAGTAACAGGAGTAATGGTTCCCTGAGGGTATGAGAAGAGAGGGGGTGGAGCTGGTAGCACTGATGACTATATAACCCATTCAAGGGGAGCGAACAACAGAATTGTATGTAGATGGATAAATGGATGGTGCAACATATGGGAAAAATAAGAAATAAGGGTTCCTGGGAGTAGAGTCGGGGAGGGAGCCGATAAAGGAAGGCTGATATCAAGGAGTTCAAGAAGAACGAAAATGTTTTGAAACTGATTATGGTAGCAGTTGTTCAATACTGGTTGATGTGATTGAACTATGGAATGTTATGGTAACTGTAAGAGCTTCCAATAGAGTAATTAAGAATTTTTTTTAAAAAGAAGAAGAAGGAATTCTCATAGTTTCAGGGGTTCCTCTGGAGTCTAGACTCTTTCAGACCAGTAAGTCTGAAGTCTGGTTTTTGTTTTTGGCTTTGGATTTTGTTCTCCATTCCCTTTACCCATCCCTTTCCAGCCAGGATTTTCCACTGTAGTCCTGCTCAGAATGACCAGTAGTAGGAGCCAGGAACCATCTCGTTCTTCTGGCTGCAGATTAGAGGAGGCTATGGTTTGTGTGGCCATTGTTTTTGCACGGACTACTTCCCTGAGTCTGAGATATTCCTCATTCTCCTTTGTTCCAGGCAGAAACAGACCAAGAATTGCTTCTTAGGTAGCTGTTTGCAAGCTTTTAAGACCACAGATGCTGATCATCACATTAGGATATAGTGCATTATCTTTATGAATTGTAATTTACTAATGGACTCAGATGCCCTCCAAAACTATTCTAAGCCTTCAAGCCCAGTAGTTCAGTGCCAATGTCTAAGTAGTTTCTTTAACTGTACCACCCCGTGTTTTATTATATGTGAGTCTAGGCATATACATGCAGCATTTACAAATATTTATATAGAACTGTTCATAGCCATACTTATATAAATATATGGTTGTATTCCTATATGACCTCCCTCACCAATTTAGAATACATATTTACCTATGGTTCTACTCACACTTTTTGTTTGTTATTACTGTTATTACAAGGCTGTGTATGTTCTAACACTTCCTGTAGTTGTTACTCACTATTGTGTACCCCAGTGCCTTTCTTCACTTTAATAATGTTGTGCTGATTTCCTCCATATTGTATATTGCCTTTTCCTTCTTTGGAATTAACATTTAAGTTCTCTTCAGTTAATGATTCCTCCTTAATCCCTCACCTGTCCCTGCATCATCAAATGTTTTTGCATCTAAACCTCTTCTTTTGTAAACCTTTTATATTAGTGGTTTCATATACAATCTGCTCTTTTGTTAATGATATATTTTACTCATAGTGAGGTACTTCACATTCAACCGTGATGTAAGATGCGGTGCACATTCATCATCATTCTTTAGCATTGCAGAGCATTCCACTGAATGTTTGCACCACAGTTTGTTTATTCATTCACCCTTTGATGGACACTTAGGTTTTCTTGGCCTTTTGCTATTTGTGAAAAATGCTAGGATGAACATTGGTTCATATCTATGTATTATCATAGCTCTTCTATTCCTCTAGGACAGTGGTTCTCAGCCTTCTTCATGTGGCAACTCATAAATAAATTTCCTCATGTCGTGGTGACCCTCCAACCATAACATTATTTTCGTTGCTACTTCATAACTATAATTTTGCTACTATTATGAATCGGGCGACCTTTGTGAAAGGGTCATTTGACCCCCAAAGGGGTCGCGACCCACAGGTTGAGAATTGCTGCTCTAGGATGTCCACCTAGATTTGAATTTGCTGGACTGTATAGCATTTCTCTTTCTAGCTCTGTAAGGACGTGCAATGCCATTTTCCATAATGGTTGTACTATTTCACAAGTCTACCAGCAGTGTGTAATAACCCCAGTCTCCAGACAGCCTAACCAGCATTTGTGAGCCTCTTGTTTTTGGATTAATGCCATTATTGTTTGGGCCCAAATATCTTAACTTGAAACACTTTCTGCCTGGCTTGTTTATTAAAGAATGTTCTATGTGAAATCAACATTCATCACTAATAATGTTGATATCTGTATTGCATGATAAAAGTAAATTAGGAATTCAGTCCTAGTTTGAATAGCATTCTGTTATTTAAAATAAGATTTTTAGATTGACATATATTTTACTAACATTGTTTAAAGATAGACAAGGAATTAAATTACTTAAATGATTTGTGTGTGCACATTTTAATATAACCCTTAAATTGTGTACCTGATGCTATCTGGAGAATTTTTGTGAATATGTGTTTAATATTATCACCATCTTCAGCACTTGTAAAGTCATATATATTTCTTTAGAGAATTTATTTCTATTTTGTCATTAATTTTCACTTCCAATGCTTATTAATAAAGTTATTTCAGTGTATTCATTGCCATCAAGCGACCCATTACAGATTTTTGATGCTATAAATCTGTATGTAAACAAAAAATCCTCTTCTTTACCCTGCAATGCAGCTGGTGGATTTGAACTGCAGACCTTGCAGTTAACAGTATAATCCTTAGCCAACACCACCGTTAGTAGCTCTTAAGTAGACACTGAAGTCCTTTATTAGGTGGAAGTTAAGCATTTAGCTATAGACTGGCACATTGAGATCTTCCTGTTGATGAGACCCTATGACATGCATTGCATTTACAGTCATAAGAGAAACTGATAGGGGTCTTGCTCCCTGGGCTTACAGTGTAGTGAATATAAAATTTTCAGGTTCATACTTTAGTTCAGGATATTGAATAAGGCTCTCTCAATTTTTACATGGTTTCAGCTCAGGAAACCAATTCACATATGAGTGTTTTAATGAAAATAATAAAAAAGAAAGAAAAGGCTGTTGACTGAGTAGTTTTGTAATGCTGTACTTTCTTAAAATATGAATATATTTGATTATCCTTGTGTATCATTGTACGTAAAAGTGACGCAAAATCTCTCTCCTTTCTCCCTCCTTATCATCCTTGTTCTCCATCCTTTTGTCTGAGTCTGCCCTAGGCACTCACCCTTCCGAGGTAGGCGTCTTACTACACCTCTGTATCGAGAGACATCTGTGAAAATAAATTAGGAAATGGAACATCTGTCATTTTCATTCCTTTTATAGAAACAAACTTAAGTATCTTTAAATGAAGGAGTCAATTTATCAGTAAATCTTGGAATTATTTTTGCTTTGATAATTAGTTCCGTGGCCGTTCTTTTTCATTAGCATGCGCAGTTGTGTCTTAGCTTATAGCCTTTCGTTTTGAAAGTTAATGAGGTCTGCTAAGAGGCATACTGCCACAGCAGTAGCCAATTGGCTGGAATGCAGCAGCAGGGGAAAAATTCATTACCGGAGAATTTTCAAAGGGCAGCTGCTTCCTTAATGCTGTAGCTAGTAAGACGGCAGCTTCCTGCCACAACAGAATCACGTTTCATTGACTCCCTCCTTCTTGGTTCATGTTGTTTTCCTAATGATGAATTGAGATACAATTTTCCCCTGCTATCAAGGGAATGAGTGAGAGGTTTCCACGCTACTTGCTTTCTTAATTGTGAAATGTTGCTGTTTGAACAAGAGGGAGTCTTACTCTTTAAAAAAGACTTAAAACATTTTGTGCAGCTTTCAAATTAAGATAGATTTTACTTGGGTATTCTAGTTGGCTATTTAACAAAAACATCACATTCCACTTCTGGATCTATTGTTCCACCAATGTGATCATTACAATATAGAACGATGGTTAAGCAAAGTTGACATTCATGTTGAATTTGCTGCAGAGACCTTTAAGACAGATATCAAGTCCCCTGTGACTTCTATTTTTATAAAAATTATTCTACTGCCATGTTTTCTGTTTGAAGTGTGCGTGAGTTAGAAGGACACATTTGTCCTCTATTAGAAATCTCAAAAGAAATGAATTTTGGTCCATTGTGCAAAGAGCATTGAAGCCTGGTATGGTCTATTTAGAGGCCTTCCATGCTTTGTATTCTGTTTAGATACCAGAGGGGATTATTGCTTAACTCTTATGTGAAGTAGCACCATCAGGGTTTCTTGCTCTAAGAGTTCATCAATGCCTTGATGTGTAGGGTAAGATAACCCCAGAGCCACGGGAGAGTAAGAACAAAGAGAAGATGGAGGAGAATGTCATGTGTGTGATTAGTTGGCAATAACTTTCTGACGTTGGCTTTACCATTTGCAGATCCCAATCAGTAGTGGATCCGACAGTCCTAAAACGCATGGATAAAAATGAGGAAGAAAACATGCAACCTTTGCTCTCTCTGGACTGATACTCCACACTTCCCGTGGATTGAAAATGGAAGGTACTCGTTTTCATCAACAAGGACAGCACTGTGGAAGATTTACCAGCTGGAAGCCTATTTATTCATGTTAATGTAGCATACTATATCATAAGGTGTCAGGCTTTCCCAATTGCCTGGACCATGGGTGCCCTGAGATGGATTAAAAAAAAGTCAATAATTTATTCTGTTAAGTGCCAAGTTCTTTGTAAATACAATGTAATCTTCATGTGCAGTTTGTAAATTTCGGTAGTAATTTACTTTGGAAAAGAATGGCTCATGAACCCATGCCAGTGGTAGGAGTGATAAAAAAGCAACAGAAAAGACACATAAAAGATCAACGTGAATTACTTGTAGCCCTGTTTCCTCTGAAGCCATAATTCTGCTACCATAGTGATCATTTCATCACTCTCCTCTCAATCTCTGTCAGTATTCAGATGTTCTTCTAATGGGCACAGGGAATTAGATGATTATAGGAAATTATTATGATAAATGTATTTCCTGTCTAGTGATTCTTATTTCACAGAAAATGCGTCTGGTTGGCTATCCCTTGCCTTGTATTTTGGAGACAAGAAAGGACAAGAGGAGCTGGGAAAATGACCACTTGAACTCTTCTATGATGTTTAAGGAGTCTTGTGAAAAGCTATGTTCCCCAGTTAAGATATGGAATTTTGAAAGAGAGTGAATTATTTCTTTCGGAAACTGGTATATTCACAATGTGTCCTTTTTTCACGATCCCCTTGTGTTGTTGTTTGATGTACTTTAAGAATTTGCCTCCCTAAAACTCTTCTACCCAGAGAAAGAGAATTCATTCATGAGGGTATTCTGACAGCTAATTTTAAATGTAAATTTTGCCACTGCAGATCAGAGACTGATTTCTAATTCCTGTGCACTGGTTAAAACATAGCAATTTACACACATATGCGTTTTCACTGCGCGTTAATGAATCCTTGATGTAGCAGGTTAATAAAAATAAATACTGCATATTCAGTTGTCTTAGAGACGTTACAGGTTCCCACACGAGACACTCACTCTGGAAAACCCACGTTCACTACGTTAATGAAAAAGATGTACAGAGAAACAGACTTTCACTGAACTTATTGAAGGGCATTCTACAATTTGTAATGCAACCTTGTATCTGTTCCAGTTTAGTAAAATTATGTTTTCTCCAAAGAAGCAACAGATCTCAATGCAGAGTGACCAAGAGTTAAATTGTCTTTTAGTTTAGAGTTTTTACCAAGTTAAAGTGAATTTTCTATTATCCAAGTAATCTGATATAAACACGTTTTCTTCCCAGAAAAAAACAACGAGGAAATGGCATTCATGTGATATAATGAGAGCATCTGTGGATAACTGAGATAGCTTGTCAGGATTGAAACCCAGATGGGGAATCCTGATAGTGTTTAAACCTATTACTTTATAAAGGTCTTTAGGAATAAGCAAATTTTACTTCAAATTTGAAACTGATATGAAAAGGCAAGATTTTTACCACCTTTGAAGAGTGATACAATTTGAGATAGAAAAGTTACTATTAAAATATTCTTCACAAAGAAAAACAGCTCAAGGAACTGTTGGTAAAATAGATGTGAGGGTGTGTAGGAGCCTTTACACACTTTTTAGCCAAAAGCTTCAAAATTTCAACTTCTAGTTCTACAGCCAAAAATCTTAAAAAGCAAGATCAGTACCTCAATCTGCACGGACCGGGTAGTGTTTTTAAAAGTATGTCGATATCTCTGAAAGATCGCCTGAAGAACGTGGACCTCCAATCAAGAACAGAACGATATAACAATATCAGGAATTCTGCTCCCCTTGTGAGTAGTATAGCGATTAGAAAGAGGTGGGGGCATAGAGCCACCAGCACTTTCATCTTCAAAAGAACTCTAGTGGCTTTTTTGGTGAGGGGGTATCCTACCTATCCTACACTTTATAGCCTAGAGCTTTATATGCTGTGTAAATAAGTGTTAGGCAATTTGATGCGCTAGAATGAAATAGCAACAACCTAAGTACAGAAAGAGTTTTCCATTTTCCTGAGCTTCACTTGATGGTGCAACAAAGTTATTGCCAACTTTCAGAATTCTAGCAACTTCCGACGTCAGCCAGCATCACCAGCCCCTTTCCCCTGTCCTACAGACCGTCATACATAACAATAGGCAGAATGTCATCTTTTATGTGTATGTTAATCTGTGTAAGTACCACTCACACCGGCTCCCCCTCTGCCACAGCTGGGAACTCTGCATTGGCTTTGCGGTTCTCTCTGCTTCAAATGAACCATTACGATCTGGCTGGATGATAGAGAATGAAATGTTTCACAAACATGTGACAAAACACAACAATGATGACTTTGAAATGGCTCTTGCTAGTTGAATCTGTGATTAAACTCCTTTTCCAGCCATGTTTTTGAAGCTACTTCGTCAAAGGATATTGGTTCAACTTTATAAAATTTCCTCTCAGCACCAGCTAATTAGTCTTGTTGAAGAATTGTTTCTCCCTCATGTGATTGTCTGCGTCCCGTAGCTATGTCTTCTCTTCTGTAACCTAGTATGTGTAAATAGCTCTTGTAAGTCTTCATTTTTGTTGCAGCAGTACACCCCCCTCATACACACACAAAATCGACTAGTTTTGCCCGTCTCTGGAGAGCCAAGGTCTGTGTCTTGTAACTGTTCTGATTCAAAGCTTACAGGCTTTAGGGAACGACCACGTGTGGTTCGGAATGAATTCGTCTTCGACGGACTTTGCTTGTCCCCCTGCTCCACCTGCTAGTTCCTCCATTTTGTCCTTTCCCACCTTCCTTTTCTTGTATATTTGATTTCCTCTAGTTGCTTCAGGGGAAGCTACTTCCAAAGCTGGTTTAAAAATAAATAACTTCTCTTACCGTGTTGTCAGTGATTTTTGCACACATTGACTGAAATTTAAAAGTGCAAATATAATCTAAGGAATATGAAGAAGTGCCTCTTTAAAAATGGAATAAAGCAGTGTGATGCTGGAATTTGGATCTTATTTGTACTTTTCTCAAAAAAAGAAACACATGCATCTTTATTGTAAGAATGAAATATAACCATTTGAAGATGAATATTTGAGAATTCTCATATAGTATTCTTTATTGTGTCCAATACAGTATTTTAATACATGTTATCAGCAAACCTGGCACCATATACAATTATTAAATGGAATTTTGCAAGGAAATTTTTTGTAATGGGAATGCATGCTTTCTTTGATTTCAATAATACATTTCAGTAATGATTTACACAACTGTGGTAAGCCAGGTTGACCAGAGAAACAAATCCAGGAACACTCGTTTAAGAAAGAGCTTTATATCAAGAAGTAAATGTATATTAGGGAAATATCCCAGCCTAGTCCAGATCAAGCCGTTAAGTCCAATACTAGCCCATAAGTCCGATGATATTAGTCCACAAATCTCTCTTCAGACTCATGCAGCACATGCAATGATGCAGAATGCAGTAAGATCACTGGCCAGTGGTGCAAAGTCTTTTGCATCCAATGACAGTGGACCTATCTCCAGGTCCCTGGTAGGTCTCCAAGTGACTTGATGGCAGGAAGGTGAAGGTAGAGATGGGGTGGGGAGATTCCCAAGACCCTCTTTATAAAGGAGGTCACACCCACAAGGGGGCATCAGCAGGCTGTGACCTGATTGACCTGCTGCCCTCCGCCCCTACACATCAAGTTGATATGAAATTATGTAACCACCACAACTATAGATAGAGACATTCTTAAGCTTTTCTTTTTTTCACATAAAATACTTGCTTATTTTACGAAACTGAAAACTCATATTTTCCTAGGCAGGAAAGCCAAGCAACTAGGTTGTTTTTTCTGCTCATGAGATCACATTATTAAAGTAACCATTTGGAGTTTCTGTGATTTTCTTGGGTGAAGAGAAGGGTCCTCTTGCTTTAAGTAAATGGAGAGGTTTTTTGGTGGTTTGTTTTTTTTTTTTTACTTTGGGGAACACGTCTCTGACTCCTCAAAGAAACGGATCTTTAGAGCTAGAGAAGTGAATCTTCAAGAATAGCTTCTTTTCCCTCTACAAACATCCCGAAGGATTATGAACATGCCTCTGTTCCTTACATAATCCCTATTAAGAATCTTTGTTGAGAAGCGATACTGTTATTATTTTATCTGAATGTCTAATTTGTTGGGTTGGTTAAAATATTTACTTATTTTTATATACTTATTAATGCTAACTTGAAATGTCATAAGGAAAATTTCCAACACAATTGACCACAGGTGTAGCACAATATTTTAACTTTCTAATACAGTATTTACACTGATAACATAAAAAAGCTCATAAACAATTATTCTGTTAGATGTGCTACAGAGCAATATAGCCAAATAAATAGTGATGCTTTTTCAATTTGTAAGTCCATTAGATTATGCAAGAATAGACTGCTTTATACAAATATATTGGAACAGAAATAGAAAATTAGTTAACTATGTAAGATGTGAAGTATACTTCAGTGGTGAGAAAGGCTATTGTTTGCTTATTTCTTTAAAACACCTTTTCAGGGTATTGTCCTTATCCCAGGATCCTTGGCACTATTTACTGCATGAAAGGGAACAGTTATGTAAAAACACAAAAGGAGGTTGTTTTAGCTTTTTGATATGATTTTTCCATAAGTATCATAGCTTAGAGAATGTTTTTCCCTTCACTTTGACTCACATAACTCTTACCTCCTTTTAATTTAAATAACATCTGAGGCTAACACTCCACTTAGGGATGATACTATTAAGTCTGTTCAGTGATGAGTGTGGAATGAATGCTCCTGGACTGTAGGAAAGGGTATAAAATAGCAACTCAATGGACTGAAACTCAGTTATATTGTTGAAATCAGATGATGTTTTAAAACCAAGTAATTATAGGAACTAACTTAAATAAATGTACTTAGAATAACTAGTAGACACTTACAATTTAGAAGGTATTTGGTCAGTATCTGACATAGTCTTGAGCCTCAAAGAAAATATGTCCATCCTTAATTATACATGTGTATTTCTTCTGTCAAAGGACTTTTTGTGGTGAATGAGAGTGACCGAGATGGAAATCAAACAATTTTAACATCACTTTTAAGGTGGAATCAATCCTATTTGAAAAATTGCAATAGGTTATCACTGGTTTCTATAGAACAGAGATTCAAGGGATTACCCTGTGCCCAATGTAGGGTTTCAATGTTTCCGTTTGTCTCAGAGCCAGACTGATGTGATGTCTGTGTGCACATAGCAACAACAAAGGGACTGCTCTGATCTCCCTGCACATTGCTGCCTCTCAAAATAAAATGAAGTCGGTTCTCTTCTCTCCCCTTTTCTAATAAGAAAGGTAAAAGCATCCATTAGGCAGATGTCATAAACACTTTGTGAGCTGTTGTTCAGAAAGAAAATACTATATCATACACATACAAACACAATTAGTTACATAGAACTGAAATATTTACATGTTGATTTGTAAATTCTTACATAAAATATTTTTAAAATAGAAGATTTAAGTACAGTAAATTATTCTATGTTCTCTGTATCTGGAGTTCATGGAGAAGACTGGTAACCTAATCTCCTTTGACTCACATACCTGATGCTTTCAGTTGTGTCCAATGGGCATCTCAAAGTGAACGTTTAAAAGACTAAACTTTTCTTCTTCCAAACCAGCCTTGCTTCTCCTTTAGCCTCTCCATTCCATCATGTCATCCTTATAGTTTGTAATTCTAAAAAAGTTGGTGATGTTGTCTTTTTCTCTCCTCTCTCTCACAACCACACCCCAGCAGCCAACCCATCCCGGTGACTCTCCTTGAGAATTTATCTGACTAATTCTCCAGCTTCATTGTTACCGCCTGGTCCAAGTCTTCAACATTTTCATCTGGAATATTTTTATAGACTCAAACTTGTCTCCTTGATTTTATTCTTGACCTAGAGAGTCAACTTTAGGACACAGCAATAACAGCGATCCCTTTAAAATGTAACTCAGATAATTCTATTCTCAAACTCTGAGCATTCCCCATGTTCCTCTGAGTGAAAGCAGAATTGCTTGAAGTCAGTGAGCACCAGTATAGCAGAATCGTTGGGATTGTACTACCTAGTACCAAACAATTGCCATTAACTCCATTCTGAGTCATATAATGCTGTAGGACAGCAAACTGCCCCTTTGGGTTTCTGAAACTTAAGCTTTATGGGACCGAAAGTCTCATCTTTCTCCTGCAGAGGGACTGTGGGTCCCAACTGTGGACCTTGCAGTTAGCAGCCCAGTACATATCCTACTATGCCACCAAAGCTCCTTAGTACACTATCAGTTGATAAATATTTAGTTTCTTGCTTCTAAATTCCTACACAATTAACTCCTCAATTCTGATTTTTCTTAGGACGTTTCTCTTGCTCTCTGTGCTAACACCAGATTCGCATCTTTGCTGGCTATGGAACGTCCCATGCATGGTCCCACCATGGACCTTTGCATGGCTGTTCCCTTTGCCTGGAACTTTTTTTTTTTTAACCCTAGATACTCACTTGGTTTGTTTCTTATAAAGTACCAGTTTGGGGGCAGTTGACCAGTATGAAGGTGGCCCTGCTAGGATAACAAGGGGCAGAAAATACAATTTTCTCTAAATGCTTTGCTCTAAATGATCACTCTTCGGCAATAATTGTAAGATCCTTAAAATAAAAGGAAAAATTGTGTTTCTAAGATAGTCCTGTGATCAGGAAATCTATATATCATAAATCTATAAACCTTTAAACATCATCTGATATTAATTTGCTTTTACAGTTGATTGATTTGTAAATCTATAGTCCTGATACCAGAATGAAGGAATTGCTTGAAGGCACACTCATAGTCGAACTAACTTGCCTACTTCCTCTCTAGTTTTTCAGTTACCATTTTTTGAACATTATAATGGCATTGATCATCCTTAACTATCCCTAAATTTTTATTTGGACTGCATTTTCCATAATTTCAAGGACCAAATAACTTAATTATTGGTCCTCAGTATGGGCTTATGATTTTTGTCTTTGCAGTTTATAATTTTTTAAATCAATTCTATGCCATCCCTATTCTTCAGCTGCACTGTCCCTCTTCTTACATTGTAATAACTCAGCCTTGCAGTATTTTCACTTACAAGTTCTATTAAGACACTGATGATAAAGGATTTGCAGGGGATATTGAAGAGGGAATTACAATATGAAGAATATGGAGAATTGTAAGAAGTTTCAGAAAATGAGCAATAAAGACTGGTTAGTGGCTTTATGATGAATAAGAGATGTGTTTCTTTTTGTGTATGGTATACAACACATTATTAATACATATTGTGTTTCTTGTTATATTTATAAATTATGGCAGTCAGAGTCTATGATAAACATGCCTTTCTAGAGAAGAGACTAAATGGCTCTTGATCAAGAAAAAAGTAAAGGGATATTATGTTTCTCATTGTTTAATCCTAGGTTCTATGCTCACTGGGAACCATTTGCCATATATGTAGATGGTATATATAAGACTATGTTTACAAAAGCTTTAATAATAAAGAGTTCAAGCTCAAGTATAGATAGAACATGGAAATTCCTCTACTTCATGGTTTCTTCCTCTGTATTTTGTTCTTTTCCATGAATTTGTTTTACACTTGATCCCTAAGAATACACCATTTGGTGATTTTTGTTAAGTACATCTACTTTGGAATGGAGTGATCTATTTTACAGAACAGGACACTATTGCATTCTTAAAGCCGTCTTTCATTTACTTGCAGTATTCTGAGAATACATGGAGTTATGTTAAATATCACGTAATGAAATTTCAGATTCAGAATTGTGGATGTGTGTAGAAGTTCTTAGCATTCTTTTGTCATCAATAAATTCCTATTCTTTTAGCAAATACTAATGCCAAATAGCTATGAC